GACTTGTAATACAATAGACTCATTGATCATGAAACTGGTCTGGCTTGCGTTCCCACCTCTATACTTTGGGAGGTATATAATGGAAGTATTTAGTAATTACACATCTTTTTTTCTCCTCGGGTGGTCAACGTATGAATGAGACATTTCCTCACACCCCCAGCTCCCCCACCAGACTATTTAGAGCATTATTTGAGAGTTCTGATAGTTTTGAATGGCCTTAAAGTATCCTTGAGACCTGCCTGCTGATTGTGATGGGGATCACCATCTTAGCACCCATACAGAGTGTGTTTTGCCCACGACCATTTTGTCTGATCTCAAAAGTTAAGCAGAGTCGGGTTTGGGTCTTGTCTAGGGTTAGATGAAGATATAGGAGGACCAAGAGATTTTCCCCAAGGCTGGACAGTCACAAGTGGCAGGGTGTGTGGGATAGTATGGACAAGTATCTAAGCCAGGGGGCTCCTCCAGTGCTTTGGAAGTTCATCAGTGAACAAGTGGAAAATCTGGAAAAACTGGTAAAACACTTAAATTAGGTGTGTTGTCATCCTGGACATAACCAGAGAGGGACAAATCATGGCAACGTGCTCATGTAGTCTATGCCTACAGAGCCCTGTTAAGCATTATCCAGAATCTTCAAAGGGAAAAAGATGTCTCTGGATCTGATGGCAAAGCAACAGACAACGCAGCTACTGCAACTCCAAGTACAACAGCTACACCAACCCTAGTGACAAGCACAGCAGCTACTCAAACTCTGACTACAACAGACAATTCCAACTCCACGTACAACAGCTACACCAACCCCAGCGACAAGTACAGCAGACCCCCAAAATGCAGCTGCTGGTGCTACTCAATCCCCAAGCACAGTGGCTGCAGCAACCCCAACAACAGATACTGCAGCCACTCCAAACACAGGGATAGCCACTCCAGCTAAACCAAAAGACCAATTCATGCCAATATTGGTTGCCCCTGTACACAAGAGGAAAAGCAAACAAGAGGCATAAAGAGCAACCCATACAGTGAAGAAAGATGAAGAACCAGTGCACTTACTACATGGGACAGCATCTGAACAAGAGTCATCATTATGTGAATCAGAGGAAGAGGAAGAAGAAGAGATGACTTCTTGACCCCAGACCTCAACTGAGCTACGGAATATGTAAAAGGATTTCACCCATCATCAAGGGGAGCACACCATCACCTGGTTGCTCTGACGCTGGGACAGATGGTCAAGAACTAGAAGGCAGGGAAGCCAAGCAGCCGGGATCACTTGCTAGGGAAGGGGGAATTGACAATGTTATTGCAAGAGAGAAACAGTCCCTCAGCCTTTGGAGGTGGCTCTTGGCAGCTGTGAAGGAAAGGTTTCCCTACAAGGACAATGTTATGAGTCGTTCAGCCAACTGGATCACGATAGAAAAAGGCATCCAATCTCTGAGGAAATCAGCCATTCTAGAGATGATCTATCATAGGCTGGATGCTGGGAATGCATCCATAGATCCAAATGAAGTTGAATGTACATGACCCATGTGGCAGAAATTTACACAGAGTGCACCACCATCATACGTACATTCATTGGCATCAATAACCTGGAATGACATAGCACCACCAACAGTGGGTGAACTGATTCATCAACTCTGAGAGCTGCAAGACAATCTCACCCCTTCCGTCACTTCAGCTGTGGAAAAACTGTCCCAGGAGTTAAAAACAATTGAGAGGTGATCTATTCGATCTCCCCAGCTCCCTACGTGTACCAGCCCCTGTCTCAGCTATAAACAAAAGGTGCCCTGCTGCTCAAGGGAGAAGATATAGGAGGTACAGGCCACCCTATGGTTTTACCTGCAGGAACAGGGAGAAGACATGAGGAAGTGGGATGGAAAACCTACCTCAGTTCTGGAAGAACGGATGCATGAATTATAGAGAACAACAGTCAAGGATGATCATCCCATGAAAGCTGCGGCTTCAGTCTCTGGTGAGCAGGTTCCCAGATGGAGTGGAAGAGTTGATTTTACTCCATCTCCTGTGACAAAGAATCCTAATCCCTGTCTACAAGACGTAAGTAACCAATATTGTGACGACTATTAGAGGGGCTCTGCCTCCAGCCAGGTGGAGGTAGGGGACAATCGGATTTACTGGACTGTGTGGATCAGATGGCCTGGCACATCAGTCCCACAGGAGTGTAAGGCTCTAGTAGATACCAGTGCACAGTGTACCCTGATGCCATCAAGCTGTCAAGGGGTGGAACCCATCTATATTTCTGGAGTGACAGGAGGATCCCACGAGTTGACTGTGCTGGAGGCTGAAATTAGCCTAACTGGGAAGGAGTGGCAAAAGCACCCTAATGTGACTGGTCCAGAGGCCCCCATGCATCCTTGGCATAGACTACCTCAGGAGAGGGTACTTGAAAGACCCAAAAGGGTACCGATGGGCTTTTGGTGTTGCTGCTTTGGAGACAGAGGAAATTAAGCAGCTGTCCACCTTGCCTGGTCTCTCAGAGGATCCTTCTGTTGTGGGGTTGCTGAAGGTCGAAGAACAACAAGTGCCAATCGTGAACACAATAGTGCACAGGTGGCAATATCGCACCAACCGAGACTCCCTGATTCCCATCCGGAAGCTGACCTGTAGTCTGGAAAGCCAAGGAGTGATCAGCAGGACCCGCTCACCCTTCAGTAGCCCTGTATGGCCAGTGTGACAGTCTAACAGAGAGTGGAGACTAACAGTAGACTATCGTGGCCTTAATGAAATCAGACCACCATTGAGTGCTCCCGTACCGGACATGCTAGAACTTCAATATGAGCTGGAGTCAAAGGCAGCCAACTGGTATGCCACGATTGATGTTGCCAATGCATTTTTCTCAATTCCTTTGGCAGCAGAGTGCAGGCCACAGTTTGCTTTTACTTGGAGGGGTGTCCAGTTCACTTGGAACCAACTGCCCCAGGGGTGGAAACACAGCCCTAGCATCTGCCATGGAGTGATCCAGACAGCACTGGAACAGGGGCAAGCGCCAGAACACCTGCAATACATTGATGACATTATTGTGTGGGGCGATACAGCGGAAGAAGTCTTTAAGAAAGGGAGGAAAATAATGCAAATCCTGCTGAAAGCCGGTTTTGCCATAAAATGGAGTAAGGTCAAGGGACCTGCACAGGAGATTCAATTTTGGGGAATAAAATGGCAAGATGGGCATCACCAGATCCCCACAGATGCGATCAGCAAGATAACAGCAATGTCTCCATCAACTAATAAGAACAAAACACAAGCTTTCTTGGGTGCAGTGGGGTTCTGGAGAATGCACATCCCAAATTACAGTTTGATTGTAAGCCCTCTCTATCATGTGACCTGGAAGAAGAATGATTTTAAATGGGGCCCTGAGCAACAACAAGCCTTTGGGCAAATTAAACACGAGATAGCTCATGCAGTGACCCTTGGACCAGTCCGGACAGGGCCAGATGTAAAAAATGTACTGTACACCACAGCTGGGGAGAATGGTCCTACCTGGAGCCTCTGGCAGAAAACTCCAGGGGAGACTTGAGGTCGACCCCTCAGCTTTTGGGGTCCAGAATACAGAGGATTTGAGCCCACCTATACCCCAATTGAGAAAGAGATACTGGCAGCCTATGAAGGGGTTCGAGCTGCTTTGGAAGTGATTGGCACTGAAGCACAGCTCCTTCTGGCACCTCGGTTGCCCATGCTGGGCTGGATGTTCAAAGGCAGGGTCTCCTCTGCGCATCATGCAACTGATGCTACATGGAGTAAATGGGCTGCACTGATTACACAACGAGCTCAGATAAGAAATTCCAGTCGTCCAGGCATTTTGGAATGTCACCAGAGGAGGAGGTGATGCGTGCTGAAGAGGCCCCACCACATAATAAACTGTCAGAAAGTGAAAAACAGTATGCCTTGCTTAGTGATGGGTTCTGCATATTGTGGGAAAGCATTGGAGATGGAAGGAAGCTGTATTGAGTCCCCTATGACAAGTTACAGAAACTGCTGAAGGAGAAGGTGAATCTCTGACCCAAACTAGCCAAAGAGGTATTCCATACCACAGCACATCATGACCAGTAAATAAACTGGGTCAGTTACCTGGAAGCCCCAGATCACTGCTCGGGTTGGGCTGGGTATCAATCAGCAGCTGGTGAGCGGTTGTATTCTCTTCCCTTGTTATTTCCCTTATCATTATTATTATTGGTGGTAGCAGTAGTGCTTTGTGTTATACCTTAGTTACTGGACTGTTCTTATCTCAACCTGTGGGAGTTACATTCTTTTGATTATCCTCCCCATCCCTCTGAGAGCAGGGGAAGGCAGAAGGGGGGCAGTGAGTGAGCAGCTGCATGGTTCTGAGTTACCAGCTGGGCTTAAACCACGACACCATCTCATGTTTCATGTCTGCATAGTGCCTAACAGTGATGCGTTGGCCCAAAGTGTTACAAAACCAGGCAGTAATAGAAGAGTTACCCTGTCCCACAGCCTTTCCTGTCATTCAAAGCAGATGCAGATTTAGAGGCCAGTTGGAAAATGATCAGAAACTTGTGGATTTGATTGTGTGTCTGATACCCACACATTGGGAACAGGGACTAAGTTGATACTTGCCAGGATGTATATCTTGAAGTCTGGTTGCATTAATGGGATTATCTGTTTATACATACAGTTCAGCTGCTGGAGTCCAGTATCAGCAGAGGAACTATGTTGTCAAAGGCAGAATTAAGAAAAAGTGCCCATTAAGAAAAGAAAGTCTTGAAAGGAAAATCTTAACTGCCTGAACAAAAGTGGTTTTAAGTCTAATGCATCTTTAACTACAACATATGCAATAAACTACAACATTCAAGCAAATATAGACAAGAATGTTATACCTGTTATACCCAGACTTTACTGATATAAGTTACACACAGCAAAAAAAACTACATTTGAGCTCCCGTAGGCTTACAAATGATGACTATTTAACATGAACTTAAGTGGTAAGTGCGTTGGAAAGCAAGCTGGTAATGCACACTTAAGCCTTTTATCTTAAACAGATTCGGGCACAAAGGATGAAACTCAGATGCTACATGAATGGTTTGAGCTGGTCCTGGAGAAGAATAAATTAATGCGTTATGAGTCTGAGCTCCTGATTATGTAAGTGAGGATAAGCATTAGTACTAAAGATGGGGAGGGGAGAGAGAAAGAGTGTACTGAAAATACAACTGAACACCCTGTTGTGTGCTGCAGTTTGAGTCTGTTGTGGAATAAATGTACCCAGAGTAGCTACAATCTGTTTTGAACACAGATTTCTAGTTGAGCCTTCCTTGTCCTTCCCTCTCACAGGGGTTCATTTATTTCAATCCTATACCATACTCTGAAACAATATAGCATGTAGATGCTCTGCATTTACATAATGTGCATCTAATGAACTTTCTTCTGTGAAAGAAAAGTAGTCTGACAAATTTATCTTGGGTTTCATCGGACATAGGGGAAAAGATCTAGGAATTCACTACAGCAGTGAAGCAAGCAGATGCCCCAAGCAAATAAAAACTGCCTCAGATGCCACTGTAGTTGATGGAGACAATATAAGCTGTAGCTCTGTTGCCTCACCTCGCCTCCTTGGAAATGTGCTCAACAGATAGGCGGAGGTGACTCTCAGCTATTTTCTCCAGGATTTCTGGACCATGTGGGAAGGTGATGAGAGTTATTACTCACCGCTGGATTTCACACCAGTGCAGGCTGCTTGTTGCCATTTACCCTTTCCATATCACTCAGCACCCAGTGCTGCAGGCAGTGATGCAGACCAACCATAAGTTCCAGCTGCACACCAATTTCTCCCCAGCTGATGCTGTCAGGGGCCAAATCTCTTCTTTCCTGTTCGATTGTCATTGTGTGTTGCAGTAGTAATGCTTCCTGCTCACACTGTCTGGAAAAGCAGTTAAAAAAGCAAAAGCAGGCTGCTTTTGTCACTGCAGAACACAAAATGTTGTCTGGATGCGTTCACATGTGTTAATTCCCTTCCCTCAGGACCCATTCCTGTGCAGAGAGCCTGCTAGGGCCTTTCATGTGTAGGGGAGCATTCAGTCCTATCCAGAATTACATTGTGGGTGCCACCAACAAAGCACAGTGGCTAAAGCATGAAGTGCTGCAGTGTATGAGAGAGCTTAATCTGATACATAACGCAAAAGGTGGTAGTGGTACATTTGGCATTGCTGTGGCAAAGTAGGCATGGGCAAACTTTTTAGCCTTGACTGCCCAAGAGGAGAAAACACTGGATGAACAGAACACAGACTCTCTTGGTTGAAATAATATTAATGTCTATGTATTTATTGGAAAAAAGCTCCTTTGATGTACTTTTTATTGTACCTAGAGCCCAAGAGCTAGAATTGGAAGACCACCAGAGCAGATTGGAACAAAAACTGAGAGAGAAGATGGCCATTGATGGTAAGTCAAAGGGAACATATGCTCCAGGCCACAGTGATAGGCCATGCCCATACATATCCCTGTTTCCTTCAAGAGGACCAGAGTTGCTAAGGCTCTTCCTCCTGTTTTCTTCTGCAATGGCAGTTCAGCCAGCAAAATGCAACATGAGAGGTCTTGTCATCTGACTTCTTGTGAAGACAATTAAGCTAACCTGCCCAGTTTTACACTGAACTGGATCAGAAGCACTCACCCATGTAATTGCACTAATTGTGTGTGCAGGCAGCAACATCCAGCTAACATGCAATGATGGGAAGCAATGGAAAGTAATTGTGTCAACCACTTAAACACGAAAGAGGTTATCTGGTTTTGTGCCAGCTGTAGCATTACTGGTTACCACAGTATTTTGGAATTGCTTTCAGGTACTTTGGGTTACAATTTAGGCTTGCCCTTTCATTTGATATTAGAAAAGAGAACATGGGGAGGAGGAATGAAGGAAGAAGGGGAGTTAAATAGCACTGAATACCCAAAAATAGCCTGTCATGTTCAAAGCATGCGGTTTATAAGCCATGGCAGTTTTCAACACATTTTCTGAAAACACTTTTCGTTTTCTTACAGGTACTGCATTTCATGGTTGGGCTTTTTATCTTCTAAATTAAATTTAAACTCCAGTTTTTGTAAATAAGTTGTGCTCTTCCTATGCATTCCAGTCAAAGTTTTGCTAAAAGACCTAATCTAGCCTTTAGGAGCCTTAATGGTCAACCTTAAATGTCCCAAATGATGGAGAAATTTTCCCTGGACTGTAACATAAAAAAAAAATTAACTGCTATTGACTTCATTTCTCATTGACTGTAATATTAATTCAAGCTGCACACCAACACTTAAAATGTAAAGTGTAACAAGTGTGTTACCTGGATTTTGACCTCTTGTTTTGTGATCTTTCAGACAGCCTTAAAGATGAAACGGATCTGAATGAGGAGGTTGAAATTTTTACTGAGATGATGAAAGTGGTTGAAGAAAGGGACAAACTTGTGTCTACCTTAGAGGAGCAGAGAGTGAAAGAAAAAGCAGAAGACCAGCACTTTGAAAGCATTATATTATCTACAGGCTATCAGCGGAGCAGGATTTAAACAGCCACATGCAAATAAACATAATTTCAGCAATATTCATAATCATGGAGATACATTCTTATGAAAAATGGAGAAATTCAAATTGAAAATCAGTTTATTTGGGAAACATGTTGCTTTGTTATCAAAAGTCCTTAAGCAGTTCTTTTGCTCATACCAGAGTGAGTCATTTCACTATCAGCTTAAAGGATCACTGGAATATAGAATAGGACTGAATTTACCTCTCTGATGGGCATCAGAGTCTGTGAAATGGAAATCAAAGCTCTGTTGTTTTCTTGGAGTTTTATTTTAATGCTGAGAATAGAGTTTCTGAGAAGCATGGTGACGTAATTTAGTATTTTTGAGACAACATTACTTTCCATGTGTTTATCTGAATCTGTGTGTGGTTTTGTTAATATTTTGACACAGCCAAGCCATGGTGAACTATTTAAAGGTCAGAAAGCAAGCATCACATATAAAAACAAGGTTAGTTTGTATTTCTGGTGGAGGAAGTGTCATTTGATTAATAACTACATATAAGCACTCATTAAAACTACTGTAAATGCAGTATCAGAAATTAATTTTCCAGGTATTTGCAAGTTTTAGTGCACTGTGTATTTTTGAACAAGAAGTTAAAGCAATATTAAATCCCTACATTTTGTAGAATGGTAAGGGATTATCAAAGGGGTTACTACCCTTAAAACTGCTAAATGCTCAAAAAAGCTTTTGTATGTCACAGATTAAGGTCTTTAAAATATGCTAAATGATAGTTTAAAACTAATAATCCAAACCCAATTAGTATTTGTAGGGTAGGCTTTACAATGGCTTGATAAAATACACCGCACATGGTATCATAGGGTGTGATGAGTTAAAAATCTCCCTGAGAATAATTCCTCAAAAGGATTGAAAAAAAAAGCGTTGATTTTTTTTAATGTCAACATCTGATAGAAAATATTGTGGGTATATTTACACTACATTTATCTTGCTGCTTAAGAACATGTGCATATTTTTTGCTTAAAGGAAATATCTCCTGTCTTCTCTGTATATGTCTTTGTAGATATTTGCAAAGCTCTGTGCGGTTTCCCTTTAGTATTCGGTGTAATTAAAGTACTTTGTTGAATCTGAGATAATTCTGCAATTTAAGATTGGTAGTACGTCCAACTGTGTATGCATGATGCACTAGATTTTCAAAGTGGAAAAAACAAGGAGAAACTTAGACTTTCTTTTTGACTATCACTTTACCTCATGCACAGAGAAGATTTGATATTCTCGTTCTTTCATGAATGGTGCTTATTTGCAGCAGTTGCCCATGATACAGCCAAAGCTAGAAGCATTCCTGTTACAAAAGCTTTAAACTAAAAACCTCTTCATAAGTATTTGTAGGGTAACCAACACACTGGATCCTGTCACAATAATTTATGAATTATCTTAAGTTTTTGCTGTATTGTAAGAAATTTAAAATACCCTTTCTAAAGATACAAGCAAAATTTTACTACTGACCACAGAAAAATAATATACCTCTATTAGTGCAAGGAATACATGACTGTTCCTCAATATTTATGTATTTATATTTATTTATTAGACTGTTTAAAGAGGATAAGAGTGTCTGGTTACACTTTACAGTTTGGATGTTGTCTCTGATTTTGATACATAGATGTGTATTTCTAACAGCTATGTATAGGTAACGGTGTGCATTGTAGAGTAGATAGCTTTATTAATTTGGTAAATAATTAGTAAAAAAATATGAATTAAGATTTTAAAAATATGTTCTCAGTTACCATAACTTGAAGGGATACTCTTAAATCATAGCATGTAGGGCTTTAACAGTAAAATTTGTCTCTCAGTGCAGTGGGAAGACAAAGCAGAATCCTTAAATGTGTTCCAAAACTACCATCAGACTTCTTTTTTTCCTCTGTCATTCATAAGCTAAGCGTACCTGATCTTCAGGTTACATTTTTATTGAGATGGATTGCAGCAATTGATTTTTAAATTAACTCTATTACTTATGATTGACACAAAGTAGGAGCAGGCAGAGCAGTAATAAGTATTTTAATTTTCTCTGTTGAGGTCTGCTTGTATTTCCAGTTTTGTGGAGAAAATTTCTGGATTTTACCACTGTTTCCAGAAGCCTCATGTAATCATGTAGAACAAGACTGCTTGGAACATTGTCAATTCGCTGTAGAAGATGGAGAGCCTTAATGCTTTCGAGGTATTTACAAAAAGAAAAAAAGCAAGCAAACTTGATGCTTTGCACAGAAGGGGAATTCAGCAGAAACCTCCAGCTGTATCAGTCAAAGATTGGTTGTCTTCACCTCGCTTTTACAAACTAAAAATTCCATTCACCTTAGTGCTGCTGCCATAGAAAGGAAGAGGAATGGAATAATTAGAGAAACATGATTGCTCTCCTCTACCAAAGTACAGCCTGCTCACTCCAGGGAGGTACATATGCTGCAGTCAGTAAGGTTCAGGTTGCTCTGCCTTGTATTTAAGCCATGAGATTCCAGTTTACAGCAGATACTTGTTTGGCTATAAAACCAAATACAAAAAAGTGCTTTCCTTTTGGCTCCAGAGATTTGAGTTCTTGGGAGTACTAGAGTTAACAGAAGCTGAGGGCCATTAGCATTTTGTGAACCTCAAGTATATTATTTGCTAAAAAGATTCTTTTCTGGATGCCATGTGGTCATAACACGTGTCACCCAAAACTGTGTGTCCGCTCTTTGGTGGAATAAACCTGTGAGGCAACTGTTACCCTGCCTGATAGGAAGTACTTCACAAGATTACATCCAGAAATAAGCTGTTCAAGTGATTTAGAAAAACAATAAGCTCTTCAGTCCTTTAAAGCAGGTCTTCATATACTATGAGAGTAGAGAAGCAGGTTAAAAAAAGAGAAGCTATGTGCACTGTTCACAGGTCAATTTAATATGGTTGGCTTGTACTAGAAATGTATTTAAACATTGGTTTGTTTATGAGTCTTCTTGCTGCTCAATCTTTTCTGTAAATTGACTTGTTAACCTGTAATAGATTTGTTCATTTTTAAGTCCTTAGCACTGTCATTTTTTGGTATAACGTGATGTGCTGGAACGTATTGAGTATGTGTAAATGGACTAGATGTGAACAATTTTCTACTTGAAAAAATAAAATTGTCTCACTCTCTGAAGTCCCTGAATCATTTCCATAGCAATTTTTCTCCACCAATATCTACAATGTGTGTGTCTAGGAAAGATCCATAGGTAATAAATAATTCCTATACTGGTAAGTAGATCATTCACAGATTTATGTTATTGTTTAGGAATAATGACACCCTGAAGGCAGACAGCATTGGACTCTACCTTTAGCACAACAGGTTACAAACTCCATAAGGTCAACAACTTCCTCACATTCTTACACAGGGATTCAGAACTTAATTTCCTTAGGCATAACATGCAAATTAAAACAACTCCTTGAAGCAAGTGTCATTGTGTGGATCACTAAGAATCGGTGATCAAAACCTTAACTGCCAGTTTACATCTTCCGCTAACTTTACCTCTGTCAGGTCACCTCATTTTCTTGCTTTCTACCAGCCTTACAGAGCAAAACAATGTGCTTCTTGAGATGAAGGAAGTGGATAAGCAAGAACTGGGGCTTATGTTAGTGCCTGTACCACTTTCCCCTGCTCAGTGACTCTGAACTCACCCTCATTTTCATATTCAGAGGACAGATGGACGGTGTCCTCTCTTCAAAGTAACTTTTGGCATATTTAAACTGAGGTTTCTCTTCTACTGTCTTGTCCTTTTGCTTCCATCTTGTGTGTCCCAGAGGCAGATGTGGTGGTGACTCATCTGATAATACCACACATAAGTTTTAGGACTGCACAGGAATTATCTGCCTTCTGGGTTTATTAGAAGTAATATGTAGAACTTTAATCCATATTCAAAACCTTGCAGCCATGTTGATTTCTCAACCAGCTGACCAACAGCTGGAGAACTTGAAGGGCCCTGGAGTAGGATGTGGGTTGAAATGCCACCACAGGAATTTACTGAGGCTCCCTTCCTATTCACAGCACGGGGGGGGGCCCCCCCCCCATCGCTTCTTCAAACGCTCATAGGTCTAAAAATCAATTGGACAAGAAGTTCAGGAAAAAGGTTTTGTAAGCCATTATTTTGACTCAAGATCACTCCATCTGCTCCCAAGGTAAAGGAATGCCTCAGTGATTTTTAGGGTATTTGGTCAGGTTTCTCTGGGCACAGGCAACAAACTTTGAGATCTTGTGCTTTGAAACTACTTCTTTTTAGCCAAATGCATATCTGATTTCAACCAAGGAGTTTGCTTTAGTTTAGCAGTCTCTTCAGTAACAGGATGTGGCTTGGCAGATTGGAGTTTCTGTATGTCTCTTAAGACTTTCCTACTGTTAAGATCTAAAGCTGTCTCTGCTGGGTTTTGCATGGACCATACAGTTTTTGCGTAGTTGGGCATGATGGGTTTGCCATGTTAGTGTGCAAATACTATGCCTGCAATTTTCATGGCTGCCACATCTCATGGAGCTAGATCTTGACAAATACTCTGTGATAAGTAAGGTATTTGCTGGATTCATCTAAATGTCTTTGCCTAATATTTAGGACCAAATTATGGTTTCCTCTTGGTTCTAAAGAACTACAAAAAGAGTCCTGGTGGCCCTGTGTGCCAGCAGAGTGCTTGCTAATAGATATGTTCATGTAACAAATGATGTACAAACTTGCAGGCACAAGCAAAAACCCCACTTTCTTTCCTTTGAAACTTCCCAAATAACATATTGCATATAGTCACAGAGACTCGGTATCTTTTGCCTTTCAGCCACGTGAAGAGGAGCGTGCCTTCCTAGTGAAATTCAAGATCACTGTCCTTCAGGACAGGACTGGAGGTAGCTTACACTTCCCAGCCTCCTGGGGTGCCAGCACTGGCCACAGCCTTGCCTCACCTGAGGGAGCAGGTGCTTGGCATGTCTTGCTCCTGGACAGTTGCAAGAGCACGAGGTCCTGCCAGAGCTCTTATGTCCAGGTATTCTGGGGCACTCTCAAGAAAATCCCAAGCAAGAAACATCCTCAAAGCAACCTGTATGGAAATGATTTCTTTTCTAAGCGGGCTCCTTTGATGTCCTGTTAACTATTACTCAAGGTGGGTGGGACAAGCACATTCAGCAGTTAACCACACAGAATTGGCAGGTCAGTAGAGGCGGACTGAGAAAAATAAAAAGGGTATACTTTGGTCTAGTTCTCTTCTTCCTGAACCCAATGAAGAGTGTTCCTGTATCAACCACAGCAACAGCACTAGGTCCATAGAGCATTTTTGAAAATACTGCTGCCATTCTTTAAATGACCAAGTGGTCAAAAGCTACAGCAGAGGTACACCTAGGAAAAATGCTAGGAGAAAACTCTAAGGAAAATGAATAATTTATTGTTCAGCCTTAATCAGCATGGCTTCTGCACTGTACTTTCTTACTTAGCCTAGCCTGCGGTTAGTATATGTACCCTGCCTCTTCTGTCTAATTTGAACAGTTTGTGATCATTCTGAGTCCTGTATTACAAGAAATAAAAACCAGGTGTGCATGGAGAGATATGCAGGTGAATAAGATGTGGATTTAGCTTTTTATAGCCTGGCAAAAGTGATCAGGATACAATTAATTTGAGCTACTGCTTGGCTCATCTGTACAAACAAGGCACTGACAGCGAGCACAGTGAGAGCTCTCATGGTCTGCCCCAGACTTTTATATGTCAGATGCAGTTGAGGCCAGCCTGAACAGCAGCCTGCTGACTACTGTGTCCTGTGTGTGGAATCACAAAGCATCATCAGGAAAGTGTTCAATTATAAAATACAAAGCAGAGCAAAAAACATTCCTGTATGTACCATAAGATAGAAATTGTGCATATCTATGAACCCTTTTGTACTGAATGCAATACTAATTTAAAGGTCATAGGTCTATATATGTTCCCAGATCAAAAGAAAAAGGTTTAGCACATGCAGTTCTAAATTTAAGAGATGGGAGGAAAAAATGTTGTAACTATCCTTGAAAAGAACATCCTAAGTGAAAAACACTGCAATGTTATACCAAAGAACTGCAAAAAAATTCTGAAAAAACCCAAACATAAAAAATCCCATCGGTAAATTTAAGTGTCTGTTACTTTAGCATTATTATGTAAAACACACAGTATTTGTGTTTCCAGATCTGACAAAGTTGATTTTAAACACTTTAATTTAAAAATTACTTTCTCCTTGTGATATGAAACACTGTAACTCGTGAGGCTATTAAATAAGTTATATTGCATTTGTTATTTATTTACACATGCCGAGTTTAGTGAAATAGGAAAGAAAGATGCTGGGTCTTTTTGGCTGTTTCGTGTGAGTCTCAGTAAATGCATGATGAATCCTGACTTTCCCATACTGTACAACCCAGCACCCGTTACTGTTTGTGAGGTATGTGGCTTGTTCTTTCTGTCTTAAACACAACCATAGTGGTACAAAGGCAAGCATACTTGTACTTGCCAAAATGCTGTCTCTTCTGCTGCGCCCACAAAATCCTATATTGACATCTGTGTACTGTCATTTGGATCCAAATGGAGATTTAGTGGCGTCATTGCTCTGTTTGTAAATGCCACAGATTCACACACATGCAAAAAAGGGCTTGATGTGTTTATTTCTCCTTCTTTTGAAATAATATTTTATTATGTTCTTAAAAATGTTCCAAAACAGTTCATCTCCTAATCCATATGCTGTGTGAGTAGCACTTCTGTAAAAAGAGAATAATGTGTGAAATTTGGACTGTTTTGTAGACAAACAGCTCTGAGACACAATTGGCGCTAGGAGCCAGAGAGCAAACCTAAGTAAAGGAGAGATTGTGCTAAAGGCTTGGGCTCATTCCTGCTTTTAACTGATGGCAGCATGGATGAATAACATTTTTCTCCAGGGCATATTCTAACTGCATGCAACAAACACGCATTGAATTCTACCCCTCATCGGCTAACCAATGTTACCGGTTTGTAAAAACACAACAATTATTAGCCGACATAGAAATATCCTCATGGTAATTTCATTTCACTTATTATGCCTAATGGATAGCTAGATATTTGCATGAAGTGTGTGTGGCTTTTTGCCTGAATTGTTAATCAAGTGATTAAGTGGTGAGTGAAAGTAGTGTATCCAGATGACATTAATGCTGTTCCAGTCCTGCATGTCTCCTGAACCAGTCACAGCAAATTATCTACCTTAAACATACTTCTCTCCTGAAATACTCATCTGGAAATCCAAGCAGCATTGGTATAGGCAATCTATCATGCTAGGGCACCTTTCTTTACCACAGGCTTTTATACTGGTCTGACTACAACAGCTGGTTTCTTTTGTAGAAGAAGATACGACGATGCCCACCGCCTACAACCACAGATACAGCTGACACCTTCATCCAGAAGAGCTTCTTTGGCTCAAGACTGAAATGTATGTAGTAAGCTTCAAATTTTAACTTGCACACGGCCATATAGTGTCACTTTATTACTTCATTAGTTATTTTCTGTTAGTGCTGAACCCAGGGTGTAGGAACACGTGCCAGCAGCTGTGACCTTCCATCCTTCCAGAGCCTTCACTTACGATAGTAGTAGATGACTTGAGCTGTCTGAGCCCTGGTCCGGCCCGTCTATACCCGTGTTTAACTTTTGGCATTCCTGTTAACTAGCATTGTCATGTGCGTGGTCACATACATTGGTGGATTTGACTAACCAGCCCGAGTTAGTGTCTGGTTCCAGGGCAAGCCGGTAAGGGTGGATGGACCATGGGATGAGGCATTGCCCTGCCGCTCAGTGTACGGTACAGCAGGCTCACAAAAAGCTGCGTGTCCCTCAGCTGAGAGGTGAGTGTGGCCTTCATAGCACCCTGAGGCTGCGGCCCCCGCGGGCAAGCGAAGCGAGGTCCTCGGCCCATGGCTGAGTCGCCTGAGGGGGACAAATAGGGGCGCCCACTGGGCTGAGGAGGGGGAGGCTGCTGGGCTGAGGGGAGCCGGGGGATTTGGCCGGGCGGCGGGGTGAGGAGGGGGCCGGCGGAGGGAGCCGTGTTGAGGGGAGCGGGCCCTCCCCGGCGGGCGCCGGGAGGGCGGGCGAGAGGGAGGGAAGAAGCGGGAGAGCCGGGAGAGCGGAGCAGGAGCTGCCTCAAATGCTTGAAATAATTCCGCTTCCGTTCAGAGCCGGGAGCAGCCTCCCACGGCATCGGGGCCTCGGACCCGTCTCTTCCATCCCCGAGCACCGGCTGGGCCATCATGGCAACCTCCCCTCAGAAGTCCCCTTCTTCCCCCAAGTCCCCCACCCCTAAATCTCCCCAGTCCAGAAAGAAAGATGACTCCTTCCTCGGCAAGCTCGGAGGCACGCTGGCGAGGAGGAAAAAAGCCAAAGAAGGTAAAAATTACAGGTTTGCACGTTTCCTGGGAGTTACCTTAAAATGGGGGGGGGGGAGGGGGGGGAGGAGACAGGGGGAGAGGAAAAGGCTCTGGGGAGCGGGAGGAAGGGGCTGACTGGGGAAGGACGCGTGGAGCGGGGTGGGCAGGCGAGCGGCGAGGGAGGAGCGCGCTGTTTCCCTGCGGCTTCGCTGGCTGCGGGCGGGTGCCGCTCCGCGGTGCCAGCACGTCACGGCGGGGAAACGCGGGAGACACCGCGCCCGACCACCCTCGCCACAGCTTCCGCCGCTGCTGAGCCCCCGCGCCCGGGCGGGCTGTGCGCTGCGGCCGAGGCGGGCCCGCCGCACTGCGGGCCGGGAAGCGGTGGGGCGGATGAGCCCTGGCCCCCGGCTGGAGTCAGTGCTGAGTTCGTACCGCCCGACGGTGTTGGGACAGGATGGGCTGGCGTGCCCGGGCTGGAGAAGGGTGGTGTTTCCCTGCCGAGGCTGAGGCGCTTCGGCGGCCTACGGTCTTGTCAGGCCTTCGGTCTCGTCAGGCCTGCGGGCCCCTGTGCCTCGCAGCGCCGCGGAGCTGGGAAAAGCCCGCGGCTTGTCGTCGGCCGCCCCTAAGAGCCGGTCAGGAGCACTTGTCTTCCGAATTGTGGTGCAAAAAACCCGAAACTTGATGCTCAGATCTTCTTTGACTCATAATGTGTTGCTTTGTGTTGGCCTACAGTATGGTCAGTACACACTGCTCTGAGAAACTAGTGTGATGCATAAGACTGATGTAATGTTTATAGCAGGAATCGATCCTTAGAGTCTTAAAACATAGTTATTCTTGTACTAAGCAAAGAACTTCTGCCTCGTGTCAATGAACCTTTGCAGAACACTAAGCACATACAGCAGTGGGTTTCTTTGTCCATGCATGTGAATTAATATCCACTCTGTATGGAATTTGCCTATTTAAAATCCCATGAGGCAGAGAATTGGAATTTAATGTCACTTGCCCTTTATTTCCCAGCTGATGTTAATTTAAATATGATGCAAACAGAGCCAAAGTTAATAGTCACTTCAAAATGTTCATTGCTTGCAAGTGTGAAAAAGGGGTTTATGCTTTGAAGACTCTTGCTTTTCGTATTTTTATACATGGGTAATGAAACCAGGCACAGTACTTCAGAGTAGCACCAGTGCTGTGAACAAGGGTGATCAGACTTTGGCGAGTACAGCCCTCATTCTGCAACTATCACATCATCTTTCTGAGATGCATGGTCTTGCTTTTCAATTAAAATACATGTTACACCATTGTGCCACGTTATTTGGCTTTTCCTGGTCATTGCAGATGGGCCAGAAGTTGATGAAATAGTAAATAATTTCAAACTAAACTGCTTTCTCACTTTGTTATATTATTCTGTTAGGGTACCCATGAATATTAGCAGCGTTGAACGGGCAACGGTTATCTGTGGTAGCTATATGATAGGTGTATTCACAAATACTTAATTTTGCCTATTTGTAGTTTTAGTATGCCCAATGTCATTTTTAAGCCATGCTGTTTTCCTCAGTGACAGATGTTAAGTTACAAATCTCCAGGAAACTGTTGGAGTAAAAGTAACAGTTACTTTTATCCAAAATTTTCTAATCTTTCAAAAAGCTGTATTCTGTGAAATAATATTTCTTCTTGTTACCTGCATATCTGTATTTATCAACTACCACCTGTACCTGCCATTTCATTGTCTCATCATGCTGATATTTACCCTTTTGAAATTTTGGAACAACGTTAGTGTTGTCCTGGTCCTTTGTGTTTCTCAGTTTTCTAAAGTCTATTTAGAAATACCAGTAGTTTGGTTTGGAGATTTTTACTATTTTTTTTTTTAACTTTGTAACAAGTTTGTTATATGCTGATGGAATAAAAAGTATTTTATTCAATTCACCTTAACATCCTTCTGCATGTGTTTGTTGCATTTTTTTAGTGGAAGCACATATAGAGGTTAGGGTTAGGGTTTCTCTAGTGAGAAAATGATGAGATAATCCTAGAATATTTGATGACCTGTGTACAACTGAACTGTTGCATGCCACGGTTAGTTGTAGTTTAAAGTAAGATTCCATCCCTTCCATTCCTGAAAAGCATTCAAAGACTGGCCCACCCCATTTATGCTGCTGGAAGATTCCAGCCCTGATCTAGCAGGAGTTAATGTGCATGCTGACCTCATTGTATTAGCAAAACTCAACCACAAATTAAATTAAATTGTAAGCTCCATAGAGTAGTCTGCATTGTGTCTTAAACTTATCTTTATACAAGTGCAAGGAGAGAGCAGAATGGCATCTTTTTTTAGACGTAGGGGGGTGTGTTGTGTTATCTGATGAATTTTTCATAGTGGGTTTGCTAAGGTCATGCGTGATTATCCTCCTTGAGTTTTCCTGGCCTGGCAATTATAGACACAGAAATGTCACTCCTCCTAATAGCTTACCTTAGTGGGGAATCTTAAGAATTGGCCTCTGACATACTAATAAATCTGACACATGTGGGAACAGAGAGCAAAGTTCAGAACTGCTTAAATTGCATAGGAGCAGATGGGAAGCAGCTTGGACCCATGAATTTGGTAGAGAACAATTGTACAGGCTCAGTCAGTTTTCCAGTTGATATGACATCAATTTTAGTAATTTGATTGCACTTGTGCCTGGTTTATTTGGTGTTGATGGGCAGGAGGAGGAATGAATTTTTCTTTTAGCTTCCACTTAGGGTACTTCTTTTCCTTTTGTTTGTCTTGTTTTGATTTAATTTTGGTATGTGAGGTCACAGTAGGCTGTATTCTCTGTATGCCTAAGGAATAGTATGTTAAAAGTGTAAAATATTATAGATTCTGCTACTTCTTGATAATAACCTCACATTATCAATCTTTGCTTTGTTGCCATCATGAATTTCACAGAGTAAGATGAAATTGCTACAAATGAAAAATACAAATTAAGTGTAGGGTTATGAGAGCTTTTCAGGTGTTTTAAGTAAAATTCTTGTTTTTCTGGAATCCATGACTAAAAGCTTTGCTGTGTGACTCACCAACTGAGACATCATTCCTTGGTCTGGCTAGGGGCATTCTACTCTGAAAGAAATGTATTTCTTGGTATACAAGAAGTGTTCTGCTGAATTTTAATTGACATATTTGAATAGTTTTCTTTGGACCTGGTTCTGTAATTTCTTTTTGAGTAATGCACTACTGGTGCAAAGGGCTATTTTTTCATGCCAGTAGACTTTCTTGCTTGTCTGTTTCTCACATGAGAGATTCTAGACTAGCTTAAATGCACTGCAGGCTTTTTCTTTTCTACTGCTCTACCTAATGCTGTATTTAAAATGCAGACAAAGCTGAAAGCAGAACTGATACATATCTTATTGTATTTGCTAATACGTAGTGCAAACAATGAAAATGGGCCACTGAATGCTAATTTCATACTGGCGCTTTGAAGAGAGTGTATAGTGTGTTCTATGGAAAGGAAATAGCACAGGGAGGGCTTTATAGTCACTGTTGCATCAGTACTTTAGAGTTCCTCTCTTTTCCTGCAGTGTATATAGGCCTTCTTGTGCCATCAGAATCACTGAACAGCTGGTTTTGATGTCTGACATAACATGCTTTACCTCCAACCTCTGCCCATAGTGACTAAAATGTGCTTGCAATCTTTCCTCTGTATCCTGTATTGCTTATTACTGTGTCCTGCCACAGGTGCATCATAGGCAGCTCGGTAAGCTGCTGCTGAACAAAACCTGTTAATACCACCACTGAAGTAATTATTGCCTTGGAGCAAGTTCTGTTCAGTAGATAAAATACTCCTGGAGCATGGAAAGTGAAAAGAAAAAGAAGGGGAAGGCTCACAGGCTTTGTTTGTTGTCATTTCATTGCTGTGAACCTTCTGAGCATATCTACAGTGTATTAAAGGAAAATAAACTACCCAAGCCATGCTGCACTGGGTTTGTGCAGCTGGAATAGTAGCTACTGTAGCCTTTGATAGCTTTTGGATCTTTCTCCCTGCCTCTGTCTTCTCTTTTGACAAGTGTTCCTCTCTGCAATAATCAGAAACTGATAAGCACTGTTAGCTGTTATCTCTAAGACACGGTTAAGGATGTGGTGTTGTTCATACGTGGCTAAACAGAGGGTCAGTGCTAGGCACTGTACTTTCACAAACAGTGTGAAGAGTTCCTGCATGCAATAACTTCAGCCTAGACCTCTTATCTGTACATCTTGCATACTTTTCTGGGTTTTTTCCTTCTCTAATCTGCATTTTAACATTATTTCCAGCATTTCAGTTTTGGTAGAACTCATGATCTCATTTGGAATTTTAGCTAGTGCATTTTCTCTAGGGTTTTAGTTTAAAGAGGCTTTTTCTTCTTTTTTGCTTTTCAGGTTATTGAGTCTATATCCAAGTGAGTCCTGTGGTGGTAGAGCTGAGTGTAACAGTTTCTGGTTTATGCAAATGTCTCCTAGCGTGTGCAAAACATGCATGGAGGAGTTAGCTCATATGGGATTGTAAAACATAGGATATGTAAAATGCACTGGCTGTGTTGAAATGAACACAAAATGCAGCACTGCCAGACTCTTCTCTGCCAAAGAGGAGGCAAAGGCAGCTGTGATGGTGTCTCACTGGAGGCAGGAGGACCCATGCATGCTGTAGGGGATGTGTGTGAAGAGGACATAGAGCAAGGTCCTTCTGCCTGTTCCCACAGGAGCACTTCAGTTGTTAAATACATCTGATTGCTTTTGAACTAACCAAAGTGACAATTATTATTTTCCCTCTGTGCATGTTAAGTTCTGAAACCTATTGCAGTACAATGTTTTGGATGCCAGAAATATTTTTTTTTAAGGGGGGATGAGGCTAATAGTGGGTCTGGGTGGATTCTAGATGAAAAACAAAGTGGTTGCAGTGGCCCACATAGGAATGAATCATGTAGGCCATCAGAGACATTTTGGATTCAGAAATCATGAAATAGCCATCATGAAGTTCATAGCTATTAAGGAAGATTATACCAAGGGAAAAAATT